CAGGCCACTCCATCCCCTACTGACATCACTTACTCAGTTTTCCCTGGCGTTGGTGTCGGATGACGAGGAAGAGGAAAAGGAAGAGGAGGAAGAGAAGGCTGTGTGCCACCAAGTCCCCGATCAGAAAGTTCAGGTGCTCTGGGTGACCTTGGGCAAGAATGAGGTCATAAATAAATAGCGATGCCCATTTATTTGGCACCTGCTATATATATCAAGGAGCTCTGGTAGCATAGTGGTTGTGAATTGGGCTGTGAACCTCAAGGTCAGCAGTTCAAAACTACTAGCTGTTCCGCAGGAGAAAGATGAGGCTCTCTGCTCCCGTAAAGATCTACAGCCTCGAAAACCCTGCGCAGGGTCGCTATGGGTCGGAACCAACTCTACAGCACATAACCACCACCACCATATATATCAGGAGTCCTGGTGTGGTGCTGTGGGTTAATGCTCCAAACTGCAAAGTCATTTGAATTGCAAAGTTGGTGGTTCAAGCTCACCAGTTGCTCCTTGGAAACCCTATACAGGGTCAGAATCGATTCGATGGCACTTAACAACAACAACAAATATATACCAGGAGCCCTAATGTGGCAGTATAGAATAAGCACCAGACTTCTAACCTCAAAGTCATTGGGTCAAACCCATCTCTCACTCCTTGGAAACCTTGTACCGGGTTCTTATGAGGCATACAGGTTATGAATCTGCACTTAACAACTACTACATTCCCGCACACACTGTGAGCTTTGTTTTCATCATCTGCAACCCTCACAACAAGTGTGCATTGTGTGATTGTGACTCTTCATCCCATTTGTTTAACCAATTACAAAGCAGGGTCAAAGACGTAAATCTCCTGCCCCAGTTCAGCCAGCTAGGAAGTGGCAGGGCTAGAAATGGGCAATCTCTGAGTCCCCTTTCTGCTTTTGATCCATACTGTCCTTCTAGCATCTTCTCACCAAAGGAGGACCACCACCAACTGCTATTCCCCAACCAGTTGGGCTCTGTCTCCTGAAACCCTCTCATGGGGATTTTCTGGACATGGTCTGTGTGTGGAGGAGGGTGTAGGGTGGGCCTTCCTCTTACTGAGCCTGGTTCAGGTGAGGTCCAGCCTCTCAGTGTGGGGATTCCCCTGCATCTCACAGCAGCCCCGAGGGAGATGGTGGGGCCTGACCTACAGACAGTGACACTGAGACTCAGCTGGGAGGTGGCAGGACTGGGATTTGAACCCATATGCTATGGGACGAGACTTCTATGTCCTGTTTCTCTAATGCCACAGCTGGTCAGTGGAAGGTGGAGTGCCCCTCAGTTTGTGGAAACACAGAGATGTCAGTGTCCTTGCCTAGCCCCTCCCCCACATGGTGTTCGCTGGGCTGCTTCCCCTTTACAAGTGTTGATATGAATCTGGAGAGAAAAAGGAAGGGTCTTGTGGGGTCTGGTGTAAGTTCATGATTTCTAGAAGTGGATAAGCCAATACCCAGTTTGACTCTTCCACCCTCCCTCCAATAAGCAAGATCCTCACTTACAGTTTGGTGAGTCTGATTCCATGGGTGTGTGGCGCTGATCCTCGGGTCCTTCTGGGGAACAGAACAGGGTGAGTGGCTTCTACTCTAGGCTGGACCCCACCCTTCCTCTGCTGTGACTGCCCCAGTCCTCATCTGGCCCCAACTACAGAACCCCTTGGGAGCCTGGCATCCGTCCTTCATCTCTGCCCATCTCACAGCTTCCTGGACACAAGACATGCTGAAGAGTCTGAAGGGTGAATGAGGGGAATAAGGTCTTTGTTACTCACCAGCTCTTGAATTGATCTGTGGGTGAGAAGCTACGGGGACTGGAGATTTAGGAGAATGAAAGTTGGGGTACCTCTGGTCTTTCCTCTTGGTGAGTTTTTGTGTGTGTGTTTTTTTTAAGTTAAACTATTTAATATTTTCACTAAACTGTGTCAATTTCA